CCCCAAAACCCCAAAACCCCAAAACCCCATTAGATATCAATTGTAACATAGCAGGAATTTTATTAAAATGTAAATTAACTTCTGAGTCATGAAATAAAAGACAATAATCTCAATTTTAATAAAGGATTTCTGTAATTTTTATCTTCAATCATGAGTCTTTTCTTAAATGTATACAATTAGGGCAATTATGGATATCGTTGTAATGACCAAAGCAATAATAACTAAGTATATTTTTTCATAGAATTTCTCCTTCTCATTTTCTAAGATCTTCCAGTACATTATAATAGGTATAATGAACCCAACCTATGATATTTAATAAGATTATTTGTTCTTACAAATGGTCCTATAGTACAACCAGCTAAAGTTAATGCATCACCAATAGAAGGAATAAACATTGCCAATACATAGCTTACAAACACTAAGTAGAATGTTACGAGAATATTTTATTTTTTAGTTAAATGTCTGCCTTTATATACAACTTCCTCGATTGTGTCTTTGGCTGGCAGGATGCATATTGGAGCTGCACACAATACAACAACGAATATCCCAAACTTTGCCTATAATAAGTTAATCATAAATGAAATAATACTATAGAGATGGCAAGGTTGTGATAGGGTGCATCAAGTATGTTTTTGGTATTTAAATGATGAGGATCATTCAAGAAAGTAAGATAACCGAAAATTCCTACAGTTGTGTATACTAATATTCCAGATATTGTTCCTAGCTTCATAACACTTGACATTTATCTTTCACTTCTGATTTAGAGTTCTTTGTAAATTATGGGTATATTTGTCTGGTACATATAGCCAAAGAATATCAAAGGCATTGTGAGCATCAAGCTATTGATTGAAAACTATCAAAATTCAATATAAAATTGAAGCCTTTACCTTGAAATATACTGCATTCTTAAATCTGGCTATAGGATCAGGCACTAAGGTCCTAGACGACCAAAATAAAATGACTACTGCTAGACAGAGATAAACGGAGCAAAATACTCCAAGCATAGATGAATATCTAAGAGTATTGATTTTCCTTGTCATTGATGAAGGGAGTAATATAAAAAACTACAGAGCATATAAAAAATCATTGTAGACTTACTGTGATAACTGTTCCCCACAAAAGTTTTCCATGATTGTTATCTTACATGAATTCTGGTAAATATTGATGGCCAAATATTTAAATGAGCAATTATGGAGCTAGTTGCTTATACTAAAAAATATGATGTATTTGAAGAAATTTTGTCTTACCATAACTATATAAGATATTACAAATGACAGCACACAAAGTATATTTAGAATTGAAGTTAGTCATCCAAATCGCCTTCCATAGAGCTCCTCTGCCATATCATCGTATCTATTCCTCAAAGTGTAGTTGCTAACTCTGACTAATAATATGCCAGAATAGTAAGAGATATAACCCCCCATTATAATGTAAATTGTTCCCAAAGCAATCCCATTCATCATGATTGCATAAGGATAAGCTATGGTTCCTGCTCCTAATGTTGCAGTCAGTAATGAATATGTTGAACTAGTAACCCCTCCAGGCTCCACTGTACTTCTATTAAGCATCTAAAAATAAATCTATCGATTGAATTTACTCTTTTAATAATGCTATCATTTGGATCTTGACTCATGAATAAATTCTATGACTTCTGGTCTATTTATAATTTTCAGATGGAAATTACTAGAATTTTAAATATCAGCATTGTAAACTAAATCAGTGTCACTAGAACACTGCTTTAATTACAAAAGTGGTTCACTAAATGAACTCTTTAGCAAGTTCATTTCGTATTAAGTCATTTATTAATTAAGTTTAAAAACTATAAATTATTTATACTTTCCTGAAATAAAATATAATTTCATCCTGGGGTTTTGGGGTTTTGGGGTTTTGGGG